GCAATCGTGATCATCAGACCATAATATTTTAATAGTCCCCATTAAGGCGATTATCTTTTGCAAGATGAAAATCCAAGGTTGTGTAAAAGAATTTCGAATTTTTGTTTTTTTGTGAAGCTTAGATATTTGCTTTTTCTTGAAAATCTTGTTTGATTGTCCGTCTATTTTTTTTTTTATGTTTTCCTTTCCGGTCTGGCAAATAGAACGGTCTATCTATTCTCATCAACTATTACTCGTTTTAAAAATTCATGATTTTGACACTTAAATATTTGCATTTTCTTTTAAAACCTTTTCATCATGAACCAATATAAATATTTGAATAAGATAATTTTTAGTACCATACAACTTTTGAATTTAATTTCATTTATTGGATAACTAACTTCGTATTAAATAAGTCCATTTCTTTATTTAATTAGAACTTGCTAAAAACCCGTTATTTCAACTGATATTCATCATAATGCATGTTATTTTATTATTTATTAACTTAATTAACGAAAAATAATAATTTAAGATTTTCATTCCTTTTGTATGTTGATTAGATTTGGACAAAATGAAATAAAAGATCTATATATCCAGCCTGAATATTTGATGCCGAAAGAAATCGTTAAATATATTGTAAAAGAATTAAATCAGTTATGAATCCGAAAAGAATCTAAAAAATAAAAAATAGATTTGTTATTATTATAATCAGCCAAGTAATAATTAAGGATTTATTTTCAAAAAGTTGCATATTTATACACAATATGGGACCTCTGCAATAGAAAGGGGGAACTGCCAGAAAAAACCAATTTTACTTTATATGCAAAATATGATTCTTAGGTCAAAATATGTTAAGATTTAGCATTAACTCATTTTTTATTTTTTTTCAGCGTTCCACCTTTTCTATTGTAAAAATTCTATATAATCTTGCAGTTTTATATAAAAATGGTGAAGGAACAGAAAAAATCCTTTTTTTTTTGGTTTCAAAAAGCTGTTGAAATATGAAAATTTAACATAAAACATATATCAATTTAGTAACGATTATAATGTATCATAAAATTTGCTTGGCAAATTGGAGAAATTCTTCTTTTATAACTTAATGATAAATGGCCTATCTGATAAAAGCGTTCTGTTTCTTATGATTAGAAGTTTCTAGGAGACCTTCAAAAAGCGAGAAGCTAAGATAATCTACATAGTCAATTTCTCTTACACAATGAAACTACTATGTTACCTCCTTCTTATAGCGCTAAGTTTGTAATTAAGTCTAGTCATCCAAGTCAAACTCCAGCCGTCTCCTGTCCGTTTAGTACAGGAAGGAAATAATAATAATAAAATAATAAATAAATAGCGAAAAACAAATAGATATATACCGAGTTTACCCACTTCTCCCACTTCTTGCTAGTTGTATCTAATAAAATAAAGAATATTAAATGTTAATAAAGTTCGATACTAAAGCATTATTTTTTGTTATTTTTTGGCCTTTTAATATGAACGCTTTGCAGTAGAAAGGGAGGAAACTACCAAAAAAATATATTTTGAGTTAATGATAAATCTGTATTTATTTTACTAAAAAAATAATATTTAGCTTATAAAAAAAAAAAAATTTTTTTGGTAGTTTACTCCCTTTCTACTGCAAAGCGCCCATATGAGTCGTTTAATGCATAAAATATGTAAATGGTTTTCTAAATATGACAAAATATTATGACGCTGAACAACTTTCAAATATTTGATTAAACATCACAAATTGTGCAACTACGTAATGCGAAGGTTTGTATGAATAAAGTCTATTATTATCTGGTATAAAACGTTAAATAAATTTTGTTCAAAAGTATGGAAAATTATTCATTTTTTATTTGGAGTTATAATAATACCCATGACCATTGTCAAGGTGAATCAAATATGATTATATGACCTGTCTTTATGTACCATGTAAGCAAATCAAAACAGAAAATTTTCTTTTAAATGTTAATATATTAGCAATTGAAAATCTATGATCTTCATATTACTTTTAGACATTAGTTAAAGAAAAGAATTGTTATACCACATAAAAAAAATGTTCGGCTTAGGTAGCAAGGCCATTTATGGTTTAGAATTAATGGGAATAATCTTTGATACCTTATTCTCCTCCAAGTCGGCCGGCCTTTTTTTTATCTTTTTACTATAAAATAATAAAGGATTTAAATTTGAATTGTTTAAATTTATGTTTTTGTATATTGTATAATTTATATCATCGAAAAATTTTTTACTTGCAATTTACTTTTTCATAAAATACACATAGTTTATTTCAATCATTACTTAAATTGTTATTTATTTTAATAATTTTCAACAGACACGGGTAATCTGATAGTACAATCATACATGTTTTTCATGTCCATGTGGCATGTAGAAAAACCACACTTTTGCGGAGCATAGTACACATGCACCCACAAATCATAATCGCCGGGAAGTTGTTCTTTCCCACTTATAAGTTTGTTGCTTTCCCAATGAGTTACCCAGCAGACATCTGGATAATATGATCATGATTTATCAAAGTTGTATCAGCCAGGATCTTCATTCCTGTAATAAAGTGTCTCCTTGATATAGTTAGAGGTAGTGTGATGGCTTTCACAAATGTATAAATATCTACAGTATTCTTATTGACTAAAATTACATCCCTTGCTAAATTATTGTTAAGAATCAGCTCTCTGTAATTAATAAACACATATGTTTATTTAATTGATTGTTAGTTAGCAAAGTCTCAACTGTCATCAGATTTGTTAGAATAATTTGTATACGGTACCTGAACAGCTACCTGCGACCTCCAAGGCTTGCAAATAAAGAGGAAAAGCAAAACTAAGAAAATGAGCGTATTTTCTTTGAATAACTTCATGATAACGTACAAACGAGAGGAATTTATAAACTTTTTTTCAGTTAGGAGGTCGTGATTTAACTTTTTAAAAATGATAAAGCCGTTTCAATTTATTGTGAAGGTTTTACTGTTTAAAAGACTTACTTCTTCAAATAATCGTAAAAGCAAAGAGTTTTAATTATTTTAATTAAGTTTATGATTTACGGAAACAAGGAGTTATTTATAAAACTATTATTATTTTTTTTTTTTAATCATTGAATATCATATTTTAAATTCTGTCGAATTCCAATTTCAGACACGACTGAAATTGATTTTCGTCTGAAATTGGAATTTCCTATTTCAGATTCAGACAACCTTTTTGTAAAAAATATCTACTTTAACCAATCACGATATACTAATTTTAAACCTTTCAAAACAGCACTTTTTAATTCGACATTTAAACAAAATATTATGAGAGTGTTATATTTACCTTAAGGGCTCAGCCACTAATATCATAGGTTAGGTTGTCAGGATAAAGTGAAAATATGAAAAGGAGAAATTTCGGATCACGATGAATATTATTAAATCACAATATATGAATTAGCTTAGCGTTCCTCACTAGTTGTATTTTGTTTTTTACCATGAATATCCCCATTTCATTTCTTGGAAGAATGTAATTATTGATATTTTATATATTCTAAAAGAATGAATGATTTCATGGTTACTATAGAAATAATATAATTGTCAAAACCTTTCTTCGAAGTTACATTACCATCGACTTTTCTTTTGTGACTGCGTTTCTGAGTGAAATTAAACGTGAACAGAGCAATTTGATAAAATTGTATGTACAAACTAATAAAAGGGATCTAAAAAAACGAGTTAGTATCCATAACGTATATTATCAATAATTTAAAACTATATTTCAAATCAAAATAATTTTATCTGATCGATAACGCGTTTCACTTAATTAGATTTTTATTTCGCAAAAACTGATGGAAACGTTAACTTGCCTGATGCCTCTAACGGGCCGTCAATATTCTTGATACTTTTAACGAAAATTTCCCAGTGCTAGTACGTGATAATGATCGAATAAATTAGATTTCTTCGTATGAATTGTTCTTACTTTGCCCGTTCTGTTGGAAACGGATCTGATTCGTCAAAAGCCAATATTTTTGGTGAAGATGAATGTGGATGTGGGGTGATATGAAGGTGCAGGTGGATATTCTGGTGTTTATGATCCTCGTCTTAATAAAAATAACCAATTGAAGCCATTGTTTCATTGGATTGAAAATGAGTAAACAAAAGACTGATAGAGTAAGTTCAAATAACTTCCATTTTTTTATTTCTATTTTTGGGAGGGATATGTTTGTATTTGTAAATTGATGATTTATCTTAATAATTTCAGTAAGTTATCAAATACAAAAGACTATTCTATCTATTTTCAAAAGGTATATTATTTAAGTCTTTATATTAATATTAATTTATCATAAATAGCTTTGCATTTTAATGATACATCATTCTATGCTAAAGATCAACATGAACGCGCAGCATGCAACGAACAAAAGTATCGTATCATTATAGTTGTAATCATGACTATTAATCGATTCAGGTCTGCATAATTATATTCTTACGTCTCACTTTGTAGATCAAGATCATTCGTCATAACAATTGGAAAGGTGTATGTAAAATTCCCGTTGTTCCATTGCCAAAAGAGAGTCCAATTCGCGATGAACTAGTATAGGAGAAGAAAACTCGTGAAATATGCAATCGGTCTGCATCATCTTCATTACGCTGGCAATTTATTTTAACTGCCATTTGGGGTCTATTTTAAAGCCATGGGCCGTGTAATGATTGACACCGTTTCATTTACCAAATTAATCCACAGTATGGATACCGTAAGGAGATTAAAATAAAGTATTGTTAAACCTGTTAGTGAGGATGTGTGCACCTTCACGTTATAGATTTAGTTTTGTTGCGAAAAATGGGATCAGATATACGTTGAACATTTATATTGGATTTTGTATTCTTAAATTCTTCTGATTTTATACAAGTCATGAATCCAACCAAAAAAAACTAATTTTCAGTCTTGTTACGTCAAATATAAAGGAGTGAATGCATCTTTTTATTACATAAACCTTTTGGAGATAAATGGCATTAACTTTAATCTGCCGATTTAGCTCCATGACACTAATTAATGGTTGGGAAAACATTAACCACAGTCGCAATTTCTGAGTTTCCTCATCGATCTATGCTGTTAGTGTTTGAGGGTTAGGAACTAAGTAGTTGATTTAGAAGCTAAATTGAGTAGAGTTCTTGAGGTGGAAAATGTTTGGAATGCTATCATTTTAGTCGATGAATGTTAGGATCTTATTTGATGTTCGTTAAAATTGATACTTTGCTAATTACCATTTATCTTCAGAAGCTGATATATTTCTTGAACATCGAAGTAAACATGACATCGAACGAAATGCTCTAGTAAGTACATTCTTAAGATTACTCGAATATCATCAAGGAATTTTATTCTTGATAACAAATCGAGGTAAGAAACTTAGCAATTTTGAAAATTTTGCTTCAAGGTACTTTCACATATATATTTGATTTCCTTTAGTTCAATTTCTTCAATACCACTTTCAAATATCGAATTCCGGTGGCCTTGAAATGCAATGAATTGGATGCTAATAGTAGGATCGATTATCGATAATAAAGGAAGTCTTATTAAATTCGCCATCTAAACAATTTAAAGACTTTAACCAACTTGAAAAGGTTCCTGATGAGCTTTCCGTTATCATCACTTATTGTGAAAGACTTAGAGATGTATTATTAGAAGGCGTACCAGTTTTCTGAGGCATAAGATACGAAGAAACCAAAGTTAGAATTTGGATATTGTTGATGATAGTAAACAAGAATTTTTTGATATATTAGTTAGCGCAGATAGAATTAATTCTCCAGGTAAGCCTAAATCCTCCCCAAAAATTCTTTAATTAAAACAGAATAAATAATAATTTTTTACTTTTTTTTCTTACGTATCTTTTAGTTCGAAAACAGAGACTACCCGAATTACAAATTTTCGACTTTAGAATAATAAATTTTGTTGCTAATATTGTACCTAAACATCTTATGGACAGATTCATAAAGTTACATAGTTTTATAAAAGTCTTTCAGATTCGTCAATGGTTATTTTTCGTCTAATTCCAATTGAGCAAGAGCCAGATTACGAAAATAAAAGCAATTCTAATGAGCCTCATTACATAATAACTTTGAATTATTCGTGCCTCACAAAATTAGATAATGTTGAATCAGATAAAATCAAAGTTGATGATAATAATTCAGCATTAGTCATTGAACTTGTCAAACAGATAATTCGAAATTTTGGACTAAAATGCGAATTTAATGATAAATCAATTCCAAATTATCCAGAAAATTTTAAGTTAAACTTATAATCTGACTCGACAAGATAAGATATTAATCCATCATCTGTTCATGCTATTAACCCTGTACTTAGACTGGGAACAAATAATGTTTTCCAAGATGCTAATTTACTTTCTCAAGCATTAATTAATTATTCATTAAATGATCTCATTTCCTGCATTCAAGGATATGAAAATTAAATGCGAAAAAGATCAACCGTCGAAGTGTTAAAATCTAGATCTAACAGCATTGCAATTATCCACTCCCATGGGTCTTCTTGACGTCTTTATTAGAAATTGTAGTAAAAAATTTACACATTTTTTATGAACACTTTAAACATTTTTAAAAAGTAAATTGAATAATTTTATCATAATAGGTTTGTTTATTCATTTTATATATTATCATTAGTCATATTATAGAAATTTATTATATCATTTGAACTTTTTTGAGCATTTATTTTCAATTTAGAATAGGTATCATTAGCAATTCCTTCTTTTTTCTTTCCTGATGATAAAATAGTAAAATGATATTTAATATATTAGTAATCAAGTGTATATTAAAAAAAAATAAAAAGAACATTAAAGTAAATGCTTATTTATCCTATGAAAAAGAAATATTCAGAAATATGCCAAATTTGTCTGATTTCATGTGATATTTGTGCAATTTAGCACAATTTCATTTAATAATCATCTGGATTTTAAAAATCATATTTGTGTTAAATTTTAAGTATTTAAATATAATTTAAAATTTATTTTAAAAATGTATAAAATAAATCGCATATATATAAAAATGTATGATTTTTATAAGCTTAATCATCATTATACTTTTAAATATATTCTTATTAATTTACATATAAGAATATTATATAAACATCCAACTAAATATACAAAAAAATGCACAACTTTTGTAATTTAATTATCATCCCATTCTTCTATATATTCCTTATCAATAATATATATTTTACATCTTATTTTCATAAAACCTACACATCTGTTAATCATAGTAAATCAATGAATTGTATAGCACTATAACCTATAAATAATATAATACCAAATATATCTTTATTAACTTTATTTGTTCACTTAATATTTACTAACATTTTTTTGACTTATAAATTCATAGACAAGATAGTAATTAATTTATTCATAATATATTTGTTTAATAAACTCTAATAATGCACTTAAAATATAAGTTTACTTATCAATCTCTAAGCGTATCTATTATATATATAAAATATAAATTTGAATTAAATATTAAATTAATAATAACTAAATATACTAAATAAAATAAATATACTAACTATAACAGTATAATTAATTAGAGCCTAATTTTTATTTTTACGTATCTATTTTAATCTAATTATATGATCATCAGAAGTAAGTAAATGACTAACTTTATTCTATTTGTTTTAAAATCCTAAAATATATAGATATTAACTAATGTTATTTGGTTTTAATATAAAAAAAATATATATACATAATTGCATTTCTGATATATCTTCTGTTACAAAAAAATGATTTTTATTTTTTTTATTTCTAAAATGTTAAGAGTATATTATTAAGAAAGTTATTAAAATTCTTGATTATAATTTGAATCAAATTTTCTTTATATTTTTTATTAAGTAAAGATGAAATATTTGTTCATAAATATTTTTGTAAAAATGTAAATTATTAAATAATTCTAATAAATGTATATTTTTATTAGATTTTATATGGGTGAAGACTTGATCTTAATAATGGTTGTAATATATTACAGATATGCCTTATTAGATATTACTATATAGCCTAATATAGATCAGTATTTTGAATACTATCAGAAATTTATAATAAATAATGAAAACGTATTTTCATTGTATTTAATC